TCCTCCTTTTTCCTAGTTTTGTCTGTCTGCTTTGATTGTTGTGTATCCCTGAAAATGTGAGGATTCTTTGGTTGAGAGTTTTCTGTGATGAATGCTACTATGTATATCAAATCTGTTAGCCATGTAGGAAGAGTTGTAATTCGTCTTCTTTGTTGATAATGCCATCTGCATTCCAATTTAATATTGAAATTATATCATTATCCATAATTGTTGCTAAATGACATAGAAATTGATTGTTGGATATTCTGTATTATTGATGGTATGAATGCATTTATAAAATTAATTATGTGATTGGTTGCAAACTGAGTGATGTTTTGTATGGATTAGTTACCAATATTGAAATTGTTGTAGTTTCTGTTTTTCTGCAGGTTGTTATGTTGTTTGGTGATTTGTGTTTATTGTGCTTTGTTGGTGGTTGATATTTGATGCATGTGGGAAATTAGGTATGTTGTTGGTTGGAAGTAGTGTTGGAAAGTTTGTTGTATTGAACTGCGGGGGAATAAGATTGTTCCTAAGTCAGTCATTTGGATTATTTCTTTTACTTTTTAAAAATTTACAATAATATGGACATTCTACTGATCTGAGGCCAGCCATATGTTTCCCGAGACAATGTTATATGTAGAAGTGAAGTTCTTTTGTTCACAGTTTGCTGATAGGTGATCACGTGCGCAAAACAGACATGAAATTGTATGATTGCAATTATTTTTACTGTGTCCGAAGTCTAAACACAGGTAACCTTGTAGGGGACCCTTGGTTTTCTTTTTTCTTTCTGGTTTCATAATGTTAATGCCTATTTGGTTTATTTCTAACACATCCTCGATTTTGTGAGTCCATCAAAATGGCCACTTCTGGGATGAGGGAATTGTGTTTATGTAGTCGAGTAACGTTTGTAGCAGAATTGAATGTGTTAATGATTTCCGCTAATATTTTTCATATAACATTTTCTGAGATTGAAGGATGAATATTTTTCATTGCTATTGAGTATTTTTTACTAATTTTATCCGAATACGTGTGAAATTGTTTTTTTTGAGGCCAGAAAATATTTAACTGTTTTCCGAAGATTGGTCACTGATTGGAATTGGATTCGAATCTTTCGATTTTTGAATTCTGTAGTGAGGTTTGATGAGACGTTAAAGTTTATTTCATTCGCGAGGGAATCTTAATAAAAATTGGTGAGATTTTATTTTCGTCACTTAGATCATAGGGGATCTCTTCGTTTAGCCAACTAAATCTTTTTTTGATTTCTACATTGTATTGACTTTGTAAGTTCCACCCTGCCAGAGGCTGACTCTGGTTACTCATTTAAGGTCTCTGTTATCACTGTCATTATCGCTGGCTCACTTTCCTTGCGACATTACCATGTTACGATTCAGTTGAGCTGAAGCATCTGACTGCTGTTAATGCATTCGTTCCTCGGGCTGGTCTGATGATTCGGCCCCGAATTGGATGTTGTTGCTTGCGTTAAATTGGATAAATCATTGTTGTTCATTCAATTACTAAAGCAATAAGGGAGGTAGTCGGAAGTAAGCAGCCGCGCATCAGTTAGTGTATGTAATCAGTGAGTCCGTCGGTGTGCCTGAAGTGGAAGCAGTGCTGTAAAGTGTGCATTGCGGTGAACAGTGGTGCAGTGGATTAAGAGCAGTCAGCAGTTTGAAGTCTGCAGAGGAAGCTGAGCTGTGACGTGTGGTGGTGAAATCGTGGTAAACAGCAGTGTAGTGGATCCTGGTGTGCGCAGTGAAGTGTGGTCTGTGCAGGGGAATTGTGGTCGGCGCAGTAGACCGTGGACAGTGCAGCGGACGAACTGTGTGATTGTGTAGAAGAAGTGAACAGTGAAAATAAATATTTAGATAGTAGTGAACAGTGTAAATAAGTAATCAGAAGAAGTGAACTGTGTGAACAAAATAAATAATCAAGAGAACGGAGTCGTGTGTAAGAAAAATAATTAAGTGAAGAGCACAAGAACTGTGTAATCTACCTGTAAATAGATCAAGTAGTTTTTAGTATATAATTGATTACGAATAAACGTTTTTGTTTAAATACCTGTGATGGTGGGTTTTAATTCACCACAGAGAAACGTTACACTATTATTACCTTTTTTAGTTATTGAATATAGTTTTAGAAATCTGCCTGTGTAATGTCAGTCTTGTTTGGTTCACCTAAACATTCCTGTACATAGGTGGAGCAGAGTACGCCATCCCATTCACCACATGTCCATTCACATAATTATACTTACGAACTTCTATACCACTTGCGTGCCACTCATTAAAAGCAGTATATTCGAGATATTAGTTTAAAATGGTTCTTAATATATTAAATTGTCAGTAACCCACACTTTTCACTTCAAACGAATAAAAGTTTTTAAAATATTTTTTCTGCAAGACCTGCCCCTACACCACGATAGCTGAACCTTTGAGATTATGTTCCAACAGTAGGGATTTATTTATTGATTTTTGATGACCCTTCAACCACTGAGCTCTTTAAGTCCCCTGCATACTATTCTTATGTGTAGATGATGATGTAAATGATAATAAAGCAAATAGGTTTGAAAAGCAGGAAAAAGGAAGGAAGTTTGTTGAGCGTTCGCTCTTTCTGTGAGTATAACACGGATCTTAATGAATTTGAATTTTAAAAGTAATATAATTCAGACATCGCAATTAACATTAAACTAGAAATTATTTCATAGAGCTGTTTCACTTATAATCTTCATTGATATTGAGTGTTTTCGTATTGTTGCCTTTCCCGCTCTCGAATGCTATAGCCCTAGGTCTCGCCATACTTCATCCTTCCCTTCAATATCTCTTGCGGGCAAGGGATTCTTATGCTCCTACCGACCTCTATGTTCTGGGTCTTCCTCTGGTATTTCATCATGCAAGTTTATGTACCATGCGCTCTTTTCGGCCATCTGTTTTCTCCCATTTGCAAAACATGATCGAGGCACAAAAGCTGACTTTCTTGAACTGCATCGTGTTGAGGCCGGGTCATTTTCCTTCTTGTCTAATTTCTTACCTGGTCTCAGCTGGAGATTACAGAAGATCTGAGATGAATCATTTTTATTATCTTTAGCATTTATTTCAAACTTTCATTTCCATAAGTTGTTACGTCCTACACAATAGATTTGTAGGACATTATTTGAACTTTCTATCACATTTTAGTGATTCCTTCTTCCTGTAATAGAAAGTATTATAGTTCCAACGTATGCTATTAAATAAGTGCCTGTAACAACAGCTCACTATTTGAAATCAATATACATTACATGTACGTTACTTTACAACGCATTGCCAGATGACATTAAATAATTTAAATCGGTACACAAATTTAAGTTAAAAGTAAAATATTTGCTACTGCATAACAGTTTCTATACAATTAGAGACTCTACTGGCTATCAAAAAGAAAAATAATGCTTATTTTAAAAAACAGTAATATAATGATTTAGTTTACATTAGTATTGTAGTTTTTAAAAGCCTTAATATGCTTGTAACACATAATGTATTTCAGCTTTCAGATCAGTGACCCCCATCTCCTTCAAGTTTTTGTCCAGTTTCCCTGATCCATTGAGCAAATGCGGAGAGGGCCCCTATTTTCCTTCTGGTCGTAAATGAAGCTTCACTATGTACGTTTTGTTGAATTATTCTTTGCTTGTAGTAGTAGGAAAAGAGGTAAGAGCGAGTTACTATTTGGTTAGAAATACAGAAAAATCAAATCTGCAGTTCGTTTACCGTTGCAAATAAATTGTCTGTAACTCGGGAACGAAAATGTCTAGTTTTTAAATGTTGCTAATCTTGCGCTTTCTTAAATTTTATTTTTATTTATTTATCTTTATTTTTTACTCATCTTTCAAGTGTTAATAGTTAAAATGATGGAAGGGATTCTAGAGCTCAAGAAAATTCTCCCCCATTCGTCACATACTCAGATTTTTTATAAAAATAGTTTTATGAAAATTATCTTTCTAAACGTTTTCTCAAGAAAATGTGTTTTTCAAGGTTAATTATTCTTAAAATTGGCCTGCAAAGTATTGAGAATACTGTATATTGAAATGAGAATGAATCTATACTATATGAGTGCATCGAAAAAAATAAATTTAAAATTACAGTAGTATTACTGAAGAGAAAACGAGTCAATGATGGATGGTTCATACTAAATTCAATATCAAAATGGCTGAGTACTTTAAAAGTAGCGCAGTTTGTCATCTGAGCTTTGCGGTTCACTTGCCCGTTTGGTTGCTCTTGTAAATGTTTGTGAATGCTTACTGGTTTTTGCATAAAATTATTTTATGATTATAGACTCTCATATTTCGTAATTTGTACTCAGGCAACTTTGAATTACACAATGTGTAAACTTGATTGTATAATATTTACTATTTATAATAGTTATTTATAATATAAGTATCGTAAAGATTTCGTATCACAACATTAGATTGGAAAATTGTCAAACGACGTTAAACCGAGTTTGGTATTCAATAGTGTATTGTAATAAGATGTTGCGATGCAAATAACATATGACATTTTAACCACATTATAAAATTTCCTGTGAACTATTTTTTTCTTTAAATTTGACTATTTGTCCTCTGACAGGTAGCACACACCTGTTGACATTAGTTAACAGGAGGCCATGAATTAGTTTAAAGTTACTTCCTTAAGAAACTGATAATTGAAGAGCTCTGTAAATCAACGGGCTTCATTTTTGTGAAATTGAGTTATTAGCGTTAAACATCACTTCAAATATATTTTTTAGTGTATTACGTTATTAAGTACAGTATGAACTTATATGCAGGTGTACTGTGTTTAAAAATGTTTTGAGTTATATTATGAAAGTTTTAGTAAAACCCTCAATACCCCCTTGGTGTACTGAGTCCTTCACTTCTCAATTGTGAGCCATGGACACTTGTATCGTAATAACTCTCATCACAACACTGATCTCAATTTCGAAATATTGGAATTGATGTGAGCAAAACCTGCCCATGAGCCATTCCAAGGTGTACGAGGGTGTGTAACGGCGTGCAGGTGGTGCTGGGCGGCGGGCGGCGCCACTGGCTGCCGGCGGGCCACCCCGACCGCTGGGACGCGCGCGGCCGCGAGGGCCGGCGCCTGGACGGGCGCGACCTGGCTGCCGACTGGGTGCGAGCGCACCGCCGCCGCGGCCAGCGCGCCGCCTACGTGCGCGACGCCTCCGAGCTGGCCGCCGTCGACCTCGGCGCCGTCGACTACCTGCTCGGTGAGTGGACGCACACCGGCGCTGCTTCTCCTACTTCTCCTCCTCCTCTTCCTTCTTCTCCTTTGTTTCCTTCTTCTCATTCTGCTTCTTCTCCTACTTCTTCTGCTACTGCTTCTGCTGCTTTCTCCATGCTCCTCTCTACTCATTTCCCCTTTTCTTCTTTCTTCTTGAAATCCTTCTCTCTTCTTTGTTATTTTTCCTTCATAATTTTAATCTCCTCCTTTCCCATTTTTTCCTCATTTTCTTTCTTTTCCCCTCTTCCCTTTTCCTCCCGCGTTTCCTCCTTTTATTTTTTCTTAATCTTATTTTCTACTTGTTTTGTTTTCCTCTTCCTTTTCTTCATTTTCCGTCTAATTTTTCTCTTTCTCTTTGTTCTTCCTTATTTTTAATCTTTATCTGTCTCTTCTTTCATCCTTTTTTATACTGTCTTTGTATACTCTCGAGTTCCTTTTTATACCATACACCTACCGTAGAAGGAGAAGTAGTATAGCACCTGTAGATGGAGTATACATGCATATACATGGCGAGGAACATTAGCACCGTAACCCATCCCTGGATGCATGCCCGCCCAGAAGTCCTTCCTCAGCCACGCGGTCGTTCCAATTGGGATTCCATTTTGCTGTCAGAAGTAGTTGTGTGAAAATGTTTACTTATAAATAAAATTATTCTAAGTTTCCCGGCAGCAAATATCAGAACTCTTCGTCAACAGTAAACGTAGATTTAGTAAATAGTTTTCATTAGAATTATTCTAAACATAATGTGTGCAGAAAGTCTAAAAAGGGTAGTAAAATTAATTTCAAATGATTTAACCCAGAGTTGGTCACGCAGTTAAGCGCAGTGACATGCTACGCAGTGAAATGCAATGTAATACGGTGAAATGGGGTTTACCACAAGACCCTTGCAGCACTGTTCTATACGTAACTCAGTTTAGGGCAAAACAGTGTTTGAGTTGTTTCACAATAAACGGTATTGGAAAGTAACAAAATTATTTTTGGTTTCCTAAGGGTTTTACTTTAATTCTCTACGGGTATTGCTTAACATTTGTAACTAGTATTATTGTTTTGACATTGTCGTTATTTAAAAACTTGTATTTTCCTACCAACAAATGTTAATTTAAACAAATTTAATTTTCTTGAAACAATAATTAATTGAGTGATTCAGATATTATAAGATCAATAAATGCATTTAACTAAATACACATTTAATAAGAATCATTTCAGCTGACTCATTGTAACGTTTTTAAGGAGAATATGATTCCCAGTATACAGTAGTCATGTTTTAGAACATTTTAAATAATATCACAGACTCCTATGTAGTTGTGTTCTCAACAGTTTAAAAATATGGGGAACTTTACATTACAGATGTAAAATATATACAAACATTATATATATATATATATATATATATATATATATATATATATATAAAGATGTGGCGGCGGTGACACACTAAAAACGGCCCGTATTTAACAATTTAACACTTTCGTTTTTGCAAAATTCTGAATCCATTTTTCCAGTCAAAAGTAATAATTATCATCATCTTTAACAAACTTCTCTCGACAGTCACACGACACCGCACACGTTTAAAAAACAGTCTTAGTTAACACTAATTTAAATAAGCATTCAAATTAATTAGGTATTCTTCTACAACGTAGGTTTCCGATTAATAAATGTTGCTGTAGCTGCAGCAGTTGTGAGGAAGAGTAAAATTTGCAATTTGTATTGTATAGTGTAAGTCTCATTCATGACAATAGTGTGATCACTGTTTAATCGCATTGCCTTCCTACACCCACTTTGGAGTAATTCGTGTCCATTTCTTTCTGCCATGTTTTGATAATATTCCTTCACCTGTTCAGAACGATTATTTCTTTTTCCCTGTGTATATCTTCATTTCTGGTATGGTTTAACACTATAACGGCGGCAGGAGTCAAAATGAAACATACATCAATTGTTTCTTCAACACTTATTTCAGTTTTTTTTAAGTTTTGTTCTTTCAAATATTGTTATTTTCCAATTTTTTTATTCTCTTTATGACGATATAATTGGATTGTATAAAATATATATTTTTTTGTTTTATCATGTGATATTCCTAAGTAAGTGAGTCCATGAGTGTTCCATGAGTCATTTGTAAAACTACAGTATCCTTGACTTGATCGGTGTTAATCCGATTTCATCGTTTGATTATTACGAAATACTACAGTTTCGCAAACTTAGAAGTTTCAATCAGTATCGATCCATGACAAGATTATAATTAATATATACATAGGACAAACAGGCCAAAAAGTCACACACAGAATCAAAGAACACGAACATGCATGGAAAAACAACACTACCACAGTCTCACACTTCGCGGATCACTTAAATTTAAATAATCACACATTTGATAAACACATCAATTACAGTATTCTTGAAATTCAAAACAGGTACTGGTACAGAATAAAATTAGAATCCTTAAATAAACACAACAACCTCAAAAAATAGCACATGACCTGTCTTAACCGGCAAATCCCTGAACTTTCCTCGCCTCTGCTAAAATTAGCACAAAGTGTACACCCCCAACTCCATACGCATTCGCTTGCCCGATCCCTCTTCACGCCTCCACCAGCAACCCCGCGCCTCACGACCCTTCCTCCGCACTCCGCCCCTCTTCCCTCCCCCATACGCTGCCGACCGACGCTCTGTTCTTAAACAAGACACACTCTAAACACCGTAGAACATTGTTTTTGGCCCGGAAGCTGCAAGGTATGTACTACCCAATTTGCTTACGCATCTGGCATATAATGTCAACATTTTGTAATAACTTATATATAATTTTTATAACTAATGTATTAATGTAATTTTATTTCTGTGATTTTAATTTTAGCTCTGAGGATGATCGTTAGGTGATCGAAACGATCTTTAACAAAATATATATTTTGATACCAGACATCTTTGATTTACTCTATTTAATTATTAGACGATATCTACCTCACCATCGTGATTTAATTAATAAGTTTATTTTTTTTCTGTTCGCATTAAGTTTTCTTGTCAGGATGTTGTAGTGTGTGCGGTCATAATGCCAGGTTCGATTGGTGATGATGAAGCTAGTTGATGCTAGCTGTTGATGTATGCTAGAAAATTCGGATTTTGTGTCAGTCATCTGGAAGAAGAGCTGTAAATCTCTTGAAATAACGAGGTGGTCCCACTTCATGGGCGTGCCAGCAAACGAATGGATCTGTGATAAGTTCCTTCTGTTTGCTATTTGATGCACTAATTCTCTGCCTCATGAAGACACATCGAATCAGAAACAAGAAAAGTATAAAACAACACCTGGAACGTGTCTCTTGAATTGAAAGAGGCAATAATCGACATCATGTACGCATGAGGAACGTTGTGTGCATAGGGTGCCTCAGTGCATGATATTTGGTCTCGTTTATGTGAACCAAAATTCATAAAGGACACAATGCCAAGAGACAGATTCACTGAGCTTCTCTGATTTCTCCGTTTTGACGACTAATCGAACCGATCTGAACACACTTTCGTGCTGATAATTTTTCGCTTGTGTCAGAAATCTGGGAAAGGTTTGTAGAAAACTTCATTCGGTGCTATCGCCTAGATGAGAATGTAACAATCGATGAGCAATTATTTCCTAGCAAAACTAGGTGCAGATATACCCAGTTTACGCCTAACGAACCCGACAAATATGGACTGAAATTTTGGGTCGCGGCAAATGTCTCAACGAAGTATGCATGCAATGCCTTTGCCTATCTTAACAAGAAGGATGATCGACCAAATAAGCAACCATTAGGTGAATCTGTTGTTCTACGCTTTATGGAGCCATTTCTAAACGAAGGAAGGAACGCGACAACTGACAAGTTTTCGCTTGCCTTCAACATACTAAAAAGCTTGATGGGATGATAATCAATTCGATCCTTCGTGATATCCCTGATGGGTTGAAGCGAAATGCTGAACTTCGTTCGACTGCTATTTTACGACACATTCTAGGCTACATAAACTGCACCTTGACAGTGTATCAGTCGAAGATGTAAAAGAAAGTCATGCTCCTCATCACATGTCATCGTGAAGAAGCAGTCAGCGATGAAGGAAAAAGGACCTGGAATCTTTTACATTTTGTAACGCCACAAAATATGAGGTAAATGTAATATACCAAATGACGTAGAAATATAACACCAAAGTGCATGCAGGAGATGGCCGATACATGTTTTCTACAATATATTGTATACTGCGGTAATATATGCTTGGATTATCTACAATAATTTTACTAATGAAATGATGAAAAGGAAAAGTTCATTCTTCAACTATCTAGTTACATGAAAGGAGAGGATTTGCTAAAAGATGCACATTAAAGAGAAGAAGAGGCCGGGGCTATCCAAAAAGCGAAAGAAGTACCACCGGCTTCTGCAAAGGCAAAAATGACCAGCAATTTGCGTGACAAGTACCATAAACAAACTTTTCAGATGTCCAAGAATATGTTCACCAAAATAAAGTTATATTTTGAAAAACAATTCGAATTTCAATACATCGTATTCATGGTGTCAAAATGACCCCTCCCGCTCTCCTAGGTACATCAGATTTGCCGCCGATCTAGTGCTAATATTTTGTAATCAACTCTTTGATTTCAACCTGCAGGTTGTTAAATTGCAACGACTACAAGTTGCGACCCTAAACTGAAAAGGTTCTATCTGCACTGCAGTAAATTTTGCAGGAGAGCATTTTAAAGTTTTGGTCGTCTCTAAAACAAAATATATTTTATTAAATATATTCAAACTTTGTCAGTGTACTTGACATCCAAGCACAAAACTGAAGGCTGCTAATTATTCTAAAAGCATGTAGAAAATAAGACCATATTTACAGATAGAAACTTTTTACTCTCAATATGTGTTTTCAAGTTCAAGCAAAAAGTTGCTCTCTGATGGTAAGAAAATTTGACTGGTATATTATTTAAATAATTGTAAATATAAATGTAATTGTATCATATATTAATTTTAATGAATTTAAAGA